ATCTCCAGATATTTTAATTTGACATGCATTTAAAACAAACGATGTGGGTCAAACCAACATGTCTGAATATAAACACTAGCCCATCCTTGGTGGGCCAGTTTGAAACCTCTAGATGAGCCACCAGCCTCCTTCCTGCTCCGTGGGACGCAGAGAAGCGTGGCAGGGGCTGACCCGAGCAGGGATTTTGTTCTCCCCACAATTCCTAGAGCATGGAATTCAGACAGGGATCTCAGGCTGCACCCACATGGGGTAGGCCCACAGGGCCAGCTGTGCCAAGGCCCTGGGTGGGCTGGGTGACAGGCTGGCATCACAGGAACAAGAGCCCTGGCAAGCTCCAAGGAAGGGTGACCCTGGGCCTCTTCCTTCCTCCTGTCTGGGTAGCAAGGAGCAGAAGTGGGTGGTGGGCACTGATGTCTACTGGTTCTCCTCCCCTTGTGTCTGGAAAGGAGACAAAATTCGCAAGGGCAAAAGAATCAGAGCAGAGACTCAAGCCATGCACCGAGGATGTCACCTCCAGGGTGTCACTTCCCAGTGTGGAGGCCTGTCACAGGTTGAATCATGTTCATCCCCCTTCCCCAAATTCATGTGTTGAGATCCTAACCCCCAGTACTTCTGAATGTGGCCTTATCTGGAAATGGGGCTGTTACAGATGTAATTAGCTATGATGACGTCATTAGGGTGGGTCCTAATCCAACGTGACTGATGTCCTTATGCAAAGGGGAAATTTGGACACAGACAGGCACATGGGGAGAATGCGTTGTGAAGACGAAGGCAGAGACAGGCGCGATGCAGCTACAAGCCAAGGACTGCCAGAAAACCACCAGAAGCTCAGGACAAGGCATGGAACAGGTTGGCCCTCAATGTCCTGAGAAGGAACCAACCCTGCCCATCTTGGACTTGCAGCCTCCGGAACTGTGAGATGGTATGTTTCGGTGGGTTGAACCACACTGTTGGTGGCAGTCCTTATGGCAGCCCTAGGAAGCTAACAGAAGGCCTGGAGCAGCTTCACCTGGGGTCAGGACAGGGCCACACGAGGAGAGGGAATTGAACCCGGAGAGACCCGCCAGGTTGGCACCCAAGGAGCTACGGAGCCAGGAGTGGGGGTGTCTCGCCCTAGACCCAGGCTGCGGCAGAGACCAGCGTCTCCCATTCTTCACCTCCTCCCTACCCCGCCCCTATGGGCAGGCCACGCAGAGGGCTCTGGGAGGGGGCATCCAAGGACATCCCCTCCCAGCCCACTGTTTCCCCTCTAGCAGCCAGGGGGGGCCCTTGTTCCCCTTCTTTAGGGCCTGGGAAGTCACCCCCCAGTTCTCCAGCCGTGGGAATGCTGTGTGTGGGGCCACATGCAGGCTGCTGCCCTCTTTAGCACAAACCTTGTTCTACTCTGCACCTCCCCACCCTCACCGGTGGCAGCAGGGACAGCCGTGCCACCTCCAGAGCCAGTGCCCTCACCACAGGGCACATGCGGCAGCAGCGACTCACTGGGATCGAGGCTGGCCGGAGCCATTCCACGGACAGGAAAACCGAGGCACAGAGACACCAAACCGCTCATTCAAGATCTCTCAAGTGGTCCCTGGGAGGGCCGAAAGGAGCCCCCCCCCCAGTGCTGTCCCTGGGGAGATGCTCCGCGCACATCCCCTCTCTCCTGGGGGACTCCCTGGGGGTCCCCAGTCCCTGGCCTGGTCTCTGCCGCAGCCCCCAGGCCCCTCCAGGGCCCAGCCCCTGTCTGCCCTGCAGAGGGTTTGCTTGGAGGGCGCCTAGGGGAGAGAACAGAGCAGAACAAGGGAAAGTCTGCGCTCCGCAGCGCAGCGCAAACAAACAAGTCGCCACAGAGTCGCTGAAAGGCGGCAGTGTGTGGCAGGGGGCCGCGGGGGCGGGGCAAGGCATAAAGGAATGTTGTTCGGGAAAGCGGGGCTGGGCACCGAGGGACGGACAGATGGCTTTTTATCCCACAGCCTGGGTTGCGCCTGAAAACCCTTTTTCTGAAATGAGATGGTGCCCCGGGCCCTGTGTCCAGCTGCCCCCTCCCCACAGAGGCCCAGGGGGCGGCGGGGGCTCCAGGTGCCTCAGTGGCCTGGCCAGCATCAGCCGGCAGGTGGGAAGGGGCAGGCTGAGAGGAAGAGGATGGTGCTGGGGCGACCCATCTGCACCTAGAGTCTTCTTTGGGGATCAGCCTTTTTCTTTAACAAACCCACCTCCGCGGTCCCCCGGGAGCTGGGTGCTTCGGGGCCCAAAAGCTTTCTGCTAAAATGAAGGCGGCAGGATCTGCCGGCTCCAGACCCAACAAGCTGCCCTCTGCCTTGCCAGGTCCAAGGGGAAGCCAGGTCCAGCCAGGTGAGCTCTGGACACCCTACTGGGGGCCTGAGAAACCGCACCTGACACCCCAGGGAACCCCAAAAGCACACCCACTCCTCCCCCTCATCACTGCAAGGCGATGGGCTCTGCAGGCGACCATCCCACTACTTGTAGTAGGAAGAAGAAAGGAAAAAAAGGAAACAGGGAGGGAACTTGTGCCTGAAGGCTGACCAACCTGTCCTGCTCACGTGTGGGGAGAAGGACAAGATGACAGTCCTGGCCCCTGGCTCCTTGACTCGGTTCTCCAAGAACCCGGCATTGCTTCTACTCACAAAACGAGCCCCCTCTGAGGTCATCACCAGCAACCTTGCCACAGGAAGCAGAAGCCAGCATACCTGGGCAACCCAGGACATCAGAGAAGGGGGCCAATGGTTCGAAAATGCTAAGTTACAGCTCCCAAGGCCACCTCACTAACTTGATTCCACACCAAATCCTGTCGCTGACAGCGTGCGATCATGTGGCCCCTCTTTCCTCTGGGACAACTTTTCTCCTGAGAGCATGGGGTGGGCATGACCTGGCTCGGCTCCCTTCTGGGTCTTTCCTTACGAAATCCTGCCTCGAGCTGTGGTCTACGATGCGAGGGACCTGAGCTCTGGCTCACAGGATGAGCCATCCATGAGGAAAACGCACTCCAGGCACCTAAAATATATCATCTCCTCGCTGACCCAACGTGTACAATAAAACCATTTTCACATCTACCATGTAACACTCCCACCTGTAAGGATTATCCTCATGATACCATTTTTTTTTTGATACTTTCAAAAGGCTAAACAAGACCACTAGTTTATAAAAAACCTCATATACCACTATTCCAGGAGCACTATTCCTAAATTTGTCTTCTGTAATCTAGTAGTTTAAGAAGGAAAAATAATTGTTCTTGCCATTGTTTGCAAAATGGCAAATTATTATAGTCACGGAGCTGTTTTGTAAAACAAACAAACAAACAAACAACAAATCCAAACAATAAACAACTTGCCTACCACCTACTATTTCTCTTTCCTGAGTCAAACCATCTCCTCCCCTGTACAGCTGAGGAGGTAAGAGAGGCCGGCTGACTTGTCTCAGGTGGCCTGGTTAGTTCTAGAACACAAGTCTGTTGGACTCAAGTCTATGTCCTCTTTCCTACTTTCTTTTAATCTGACAACTTCCAAACCCACTGCATGTTTCTTAAATTAGCAAAGTCTACACAGGGAGTCCTAGAACTCATGATGACCAGTAACTCCTGGTGAACTATAGCCTATATTCCATGTTTTATGTTTTTGAGACACAGTCTCACTTTCTTGTCCAGGGTAGAGTGCCGTGGCGTCCGCCTAGCTCACAGCAACCTCAAACTCCTGGGCTCAAGCGATCCTCCTGCCTCAGCCTCCCGAGTAGCTGGGACTACAGGCATGCACACCACCATGCCCGGCTAATTTTTTTCTATATATTTTTAGTTGGCCAATTAATTTCTTTCTATTTTTGGTGGAGACAGGGTAAGGGTATCGCTCTTGCTCAGGCTGGTTTCGAATTCCTGACCTTGAGCCATCCTCCCGCCTAGGCCTCCCAGAGTGCTAGGATTATAGGCGTGAGCCACCGCGCCCAGCCTATATTCCATGTTTTATACCTGTCACTATGATGATGCTTCGGTCCCAGGGGACGACTTTCTTGAATGACCCCAGGACAGGGTGTCCTTCTGGGTGGGCAGCGCCTACCTGACATAGCCACAGGTGAGGAGCGTCACTGACAAGATGTCTAGTGCAGAGAGGCAAAAAGGAGCCATTTGTGAACAGTGCGGGGACGTCAGCTTCCTAGAGCAGAAGCACCAGCCTAGGGACCATTATCCCTGAGAGAAATGCTTGTGGCTCTAGGACCAACTGCCCAACAGACTTTCTCCAACGATGGAAACGTTCTGTATCTGTGCTGTCCAACAGAGTAGCCACTTGCCACTCACGTCTGCTGAACACTAGAAATGTGGTGCGTGTGACTGAGGAACTAAATTTTTTATTTGATTTTAATTAATTTAAGTTAATTAACTCAACCACATGTGGCTAGTGGCTGCCATATTGGACCGCACAGCTCTGGACTCATATATTCAACTACTATTTGAAATCTCTACTTGGGTATTTTCTTTGGCATATCAAACCTAATATGACCCCAACAAACTTTTTTTTTTTTTTTTGAGACAGAGTCTCACTCTGTTGCCCGGGCTAGAGTGCCGTGGCATCAGCCTAGCTCACAGCAACCTCAAACTCCTGTGCTCAAGCAATCCTTCTGCCCCAGCCTCCTGAGTAGCTGGGACTACAGGCATGCCACCATGCCTGGCTAATTTTTTCTATATATTTTTAGTTGGCCAATTAATTTCTTTCTATTTTTAGTAGAGATGGGGTCTCACTCTTGCTCAGGCTGGTTTCGAACTCCTGACCTTGAGCAATCCATCTGCCTCAGCCTCCCAGAGTGCTAGGCGTGAGCCACCGTGCCCAGCCAGCCCAATGAACTATTGCCCTGTCCCAAACCTGGGCCCCACCCCAGTATTAATCATTTCCATACATCAAACCACCCAGGTGCTTGTGCCAAAACCTCGGCGTCATCCTCAACTTCTCCCTCTCTCACCGCTGATGTGTGATCTGTCAGCACGTTCTAGTGGTTCTGTGTCCAAGACCGTTTCAAACTCTCTCCATCTTCATGGTCACTCAGTCCAGCCCGTCCCCCTCTGTCACCTGGACAGCAGTGATAGCCTCTTCGCTCTCTTCCTGCTTCTACTCTTGGCGCCCCTCAATCTCCCCTCTATAGGGCAGCTGGAGCTACCTGAGAAAACGTGGACCAACTTTGTCAGTCTTCTGCTTAAAACCCTCTGGTTTTAAGGCTTCTCACTGTTCTCAGAATCACAGAAATCCCTGACCATGTCTCATGAGCCCTGTCATGCCTCAGGGCCTTTGCACATGCTGTTCCCTCAGCCTGGAATGTTTGTTACTCAGTTCTTCTTATGACAGACAGCTTCTTTTCGTCCACCAGATATCAGCTCTTCAGACCACCACATTCAGAGGCTGCAGCCATTCTGTCACAGTTCCCTGGCCTCAAATATATGATCTAGTCTGTTATTCTGCATATATATTTATATATAAAATAAAGCAGAATATATATATATACACACACACATATATATATGGAATAATTTTATTCTGTTGTAGCACTTGCTGCCATCTATAATTATTGTGTCTGTCTCCCTCTGCCAAAGTAAACCCCATGGGTACAGCAGCCACTTGTCTCTTTGTCCCCTGCACCAAGTACAGTGCCTAGCATGGAGGAGACATCACTATGTTTGCGGCTGCCTAGAGGAAGGAATGGTGGGAAGCGTAGGCAGCCCTGTGAGTACCTGGGATACCCGGGGCCTTTGCTGGCCTCGTCTTTGGAGCCTGTCCTTCCCTGCCCAGGGCGAGTGTCCCAGATCCAGTGCTGCACCTGTCCCGGTGAAGACAGGATGGGGCCGGGTCAGTGCAGATCCCACAGGTCCTGGGCAGGTGAAAGGCGCAGGGAAAGGGCAGCTCTGAGAGGCCAGAATGTCACCATTCTCCAGCTCCTCTGGGAGTAGACGGTCTTGCCCAGGAGGGTCCAAACACACAGCAATTCAGGGTCCCAAACTATCCACTCTTCACCACCCAGCAGAAATCGACGCCCTCCTTAGCAGGAGCTGCAGCTGAAGGGACTCCTCGCCCTGCGGTTTCGGTGTGATCCACGTGTCCTGGTGTAGGACGCTCACGTGATCTCACCGTAGCCACCGCCATCTTGCAGGGGAGGCAGGGCACAAGGAAGCCACGCCTCCGGGGGGCGGGGTTAAACGACTCGCTCAAAGCCACAAAGTCAGTACAATGCAGAGCCAGGGTGAGGGCACAATCTCTGGGCTCCAAATCCCAGCTTTCCTCCTCTCATTCAAAGGCCAACAAGGTGAGCTACCTGTTGATGTCCATGGTACAACCGCTGTGTGCCAAGTCCCACGCTGGGAGCTTGAGGACACTGATTCTTTAATAAGCCCACGAGAGCTGCCCACTAAGCCACATCCAGGGTCTCCACTCTCCCCGCCTCCATTTTTCTTCGGCCCTTCACCTTCTGAGGCAGCGGGTGGCAAACTTTATGATGCTCCTGGGTCACACAGAGAACTTGTTAAAAGTACAGATTTCTGGGGTCCCCTTTTTGAGGTTTGAAGAGTGGCCCGAGACTCTCTCCTTTTGTTCCATCACCTATGCTAATTAATTCTTTAGTTACATGTCATTTTTTCACTCCAGTGGAGCATCAGACTTTGTAGAGAAGTCTTCAACACTGGAATCTCTGTCACCATTAACATAATTTTTCTGAAATATAACACAGTTCTCCAGGGATCATTCATAGTCACTTCCATCCAGGTTGTTTGACAAGCAGAAGTTGTTTAATGACATTTGTATTAGGAGAAATAGGGCCCCTGCTCCACCCCAAATTCATGTCCACCCAGAACTTGTGAATGTGATTGTATTTGGAAATAAGGTCTTTGATGTAATCAAGTTAAGATGAAGTCAGACTGGATTACGGTGGCCTCTAACTTTTAATATGATTGGTGCCTTCATCAGAGGGAAATTTGGAGACATAGACACACAGACACAGGGAAGACAACTGGTGACAATGGAGGGAGAGATTGGGGGGCTATCTCTGCAAGCCAAGGGACTCCAAGGATGGCAGCCCCACTGGAAGACAGGAGAGAGGCCTGGAACAAATTCTCTACCAGAGCCTCTAGAAGGAACCAACTCTGCTGATATTTTGATGTCAGCTGTCTAGCCTCTAGGACATTGAGAGAATAAATTTCTGTTGTTTTAGCAGCTCTAGGAGACTAATATATCGTCACTGGAAATGTGATTGCTGCATACAACCATTCACATGCTCTTTTTTTATTTTCCCACTCCTTTTTTTTTTTTTTTCAAGAACTTTGACTAATTCCCACTCCTTCTTTAAGGACATATCTGTGAGTAATTTCCACTAGCCTGGCCATCCACGCACAAGTAGAACTTGACCCACAGGCCTTGCCTCCAGCCAACCACAGTTTGTGAACACAGAGCAGGAAAGGTGAGCAGGACCCACCTGAATGCCAACTTCCAAGAGCAAGGCTGCTGCCACCACCCTATCCCTGCCTTCCCTAGCTGCCATTGCTGCCATTGCATGACTGCTCGGACTCAGCGACTGGGCTTGCTGACTGGGGCCTGCCACCTGCATGGGTTTCCCTGGAGCGTTTCCCTACCTGCTCTGGCCACATGACCTCAGGACCCAGGGCAAGCTGGGCAGCCTTGGCCTCTGAAAGTGAGACTAGACTATGTGCCAAGGCCAGCAGCCTGCTTCGGAATGATCCCCCATCTCTTGTCCTGCTCTTTGCTTTCTCTAACGGAAGAGAAACTTGGCTGGAATTGGAATGGAAGGAAGAAAACAATTAATGGCTAAAACCCAATAAAAAAGTAGTGACTTCATTGATAGAGAACAGAGTCCAAAAACAGACCTAAATACATATGTAAATGGATGATATGTGATAAAGGTATTTTTTTAGTGGGAAGAGAGAGATTCTATAAATCTACTGGGACAACCAGTTAATCATTTGGAAAAATAACAAACCCAAAATAATCTCTATCTTGTTCCTTACACCAAAAAAATTTCAGGGAAGTAAAACATTTAAGTAAAACCAAACAACCAAGCAATAAGAAAAAACATTAAGCATATAATTATTAGCAGGATTCCAAAATATTTTTGTTTTTATGTATAAAAACTTAAAGTAGGGGAGAATCTTATCTTTCTAAGAATGGTAAGACTAATATCTTTTAGGGAAAATTTAAACGTTTTGTATAAAGAAAAAGTATTAAACAAGTCAAAAGACAAATAAAAAGTAGGAGAAAATAGCAATACCGTTGATGAAAAGTGAGCTAAAACCCTTTATATCTAAGAAATGACTATAAATCAGTAAGATAAAGACCAACTATCCAATAGAAAAGTAGACAAAGGACATGAAAAGGCAGTTTACCAAAACATGGAAATAACTTAGAAGTGTATGAAAGGACATTGACTATGCTTTAAAAAGGGCTTGAAAAAAAGAAAAATTTATACCATAAAAAAAGACATTGAACCTCCCTTATACTTCATATAAATAAAAATTTAAACAAGGAGCAACTTTTTTCACCCATTGGCAACAATTAAAATAATACATGGAACTGGTGAGAGTGTAGAGAAACAGGCATTCTTACACGTTTTTGGAAGAAGTTTAAATTGGTACAATCATGTTAGAGGACACTTTGATAATATCCATTAAAATACAAAATGCGTACTATTTTGATCCAGAAATTCCAAATCCAGGACTGGACTCTATATTACAAATTTATTTGCACGTATATGCAAAATGATTGTGCAAGGATGCTCATTGTAGTATTGATGTAATAGGAAAACACATTAATAGGGATAGTTGTTAAAAAGAATGAAGTCAACCTACATTGTTTATAGGGAAAGAAACATAAAATATGTGTATTAAACAAAAAAGCCAGTAAGTTGCCAAGCAGTCTGTATCACATGATTCGTTTATGTGGCAAATAAAAAAATAACAATTTATGAGCGTGCATGGATAGAATATTTCTGTAAAACCACACAAAAAATTGTTAATGGTATTTATAGAGGGAGTAGGGTGAAAGGGAAATGAATTTTTTTGCGCATTCCTTTTAACTACTGAAATTTTTGTCAACTATGTTCATATGTAATTATTATGATAGAAAAAGGGGAGGAGAACCTGCCTAATTTTAACCAACCATGTGATCCTTCCCTTGCTGAATGTCATACACTTTTGACATCTGTCCTAATGGAATGCCCTCAGTGAGTCCTGATTCATATTAATTAAAATGAGAATTTTCTGGCACCAAGCTCCTTCCCAGCTCCTTTGGCGGGTGCCACATCCTGCATCTGGAACATTCTGAGGGAGCCCTCCTGAGGGCCACAGGACCTTGGCTACTTGCCAGGCTCAAAGCCAGGCGGCTGCCTGCAAACTCGGCTCCCAGACACGCTGGCTGCCTGGCTGTACACCAAGTTCACACCTCTCCTAGGTCTTTTGCCCTATCATGCCATCCCCCTCTCCCTTACGCCCAGCGGGTTCTCTCTGGACCCCTGGCATCTAGTCACATCTAGTCTGGGACATTCTTTTTTTTTTTTTGAGACAGAGTCTCACTTTATTTGTTGCCTAGGCTAGAATGAGTGCCGTGGCGTCAGCCTAGCTCACAGCAACCTCAAACTCCTGGGCTCAAGCGATCCTCCTGCCTCAGCCTCCCAAGTGGCTGGGACTACAGGCATGCGCCACCATGCCCGGCTAATTTTTTCTATATATATTATTTGGCCAATTAATTTCTTTCTATTTATAGTAGAGATGGGGTCTCGCTCTTGCTGAGGCTGGTTTCGAACTCCTGACCTCGAGCAATCCGCCCGCCTCGGCCTCCCAGAGAGCTAGGATTACAGGCGTGAGCCACCGCGCCCGGCCTAGTCTGGGACATTCTTTATACTCATTTCCAGACACGGAGTGGGTATTTAGAAAAGGTGAGACCAAGAATTAGAAAACTAGGATTCCTTTCCTTTCCTTCCTTCCTTTTTGAGACAGGGTCTTGCTCTGTTGCCTGGGCTGGAGTGTAGTGATGTCATCATAATTCACTGTGACCTCAGACTCCTGGGCTCAAGCAATGCTCCTGCCTCATCCCTGTGAGTAGCCAGGTCTACAGGCACATGCCACCAGTCCTCACTGTTTTTTTGTTTTTGTTTTTTTTTTTTGAGACAAGGTACTGGCTAGAGTACAGTCAGTGATAAAATCATCACTCACTGCAACTTCAAACTCTTGGGCTCAAGCGATCTTTCTGCCTGAGCCTCCTAAGTAGCTGGGACTACAGGCCACACCTGGCTAATTTTTAAAATCTTTTTTTATAGAGATGGGGGGGGGTGTCTCGCTATGCTGCTCAGGTTGGTCTCGAACTCCTGGCCTCAAGAGATCCTCCCACCTCAGCCTCCCAAATTGTTGGGATTATAGGTGTGAGCCTCCGTGCCCAGCCTCATTTATTTCTATAAGGGAATTTCTCTGTCAGTCTTTAATGTCACTAAACGTACATCCTGCACATGTCACATTCATGACACACACCTCTTCCTGCCGCTCCCCAAGTCAGACCAGCCACCACCACGGGGAAAGCCTGACACTGAGGGCCCTGGGCCTGCCTGATGAGATGGCTATGAGGTGACAACAGGCCATATCCTGATTGGCTGAGGTCAGCTCTGATCCACTCAAGGGTCAGGTGAACTTACTCTGTGGGTGAGTTCAAGTGTTCCCCTTCCTACTCAAAATTCTGCTCTTCAATCTGCTTGATGAGCTCAAATGTGTCACATGCATGTAATTCAATGATGTTTTCTAAAGGACAAAAACAAGAGAAACCGAGCTAGAAGGAAGTTTGAAAATTCCCTCGCTTCTCCTTGGAGGGTCACCTCTGCCAGGGTGGCATCCTAGAGGAGGCTGCACTCCTGGGTTGTGCGGCTTAGAGCGTCACCGCCATGCTGGCCGGGAAGGCTAGCTGCTGGCCCGAGACTGCGCGGCCACGGGCTGCAGTCTGGCAGCGCAGCAAGGGCCCTGGCAGGGGACTGCCCCATCTCACCCAAACAGGACCTGCCTCTTGGAGAAGAGAAGCAGCAGCTACCCTACCTCCTAGCTGTCCCCTCGTCCTGCCTTGGGGTCTGCCAAAGGACTGGTGAAAATGCAGCACATCGAGACTCCATGGCAAGTGTTTTGGAAAGAGAGAGGTTCTACAAAGTCACCTGGTTCTAAATGGCCCCTCCTGAGACATGCAAGGACAAAGTGGAAAGGAACCTGAGTTTAGCAGCTGCCTTCCAGACTTAGTAACTCCCCTTCCACGTGCAGCGGAAGAGACAGAATCGTCCACCCCCCGACACGCCCGCCACCTCCACTGCAGCTTAGACCAGACACGAAGGACCTCCAGAAAATCACACCCTTCCCTCCAGAACACCAGGGCCCCTTCGGGAGCATTCTGGGGACCACAGATCACTATTATTTCAGGTTCCCCACAGATTCAGGGTTTCACAGGCCCCTCTGCTCATAAAGGAAGTACTTTTCTGGCCCAGCTAAATTACTTTTCAATGAAAGGCTTCAGGGTACAGCTATGACGAACAAGGGTCCTCTAAGTGCATGTCCCTCCAGATAAACCTCTTTCAAGCCAACACATCACCCCGCCTCACACTTTGACCTCCACCTGCTCACCCTATGGCAGGGCAGCTGCCAGGGGATCCGAGTGTTTGACCCGCCGATTAATCAGTAACTGGGCTCGCAGGGAACGAGTCACATGCAGAGGAAGGCGTGCCTGCTCCCCTCCGGAAATCTCCCTACACACACGTCGCCACACGTCACCCTAGAAGGCAGAGGTGGTTTATGAGGTCTAGAAAATAAACAAGTGCAGCCTAAGGATCCTTTTCCTTCTGCCTTTCGAGGGCTGACTTCAGCCCAGTGAGAAGGGTCAAAGGGGACCCTACGTTGCATCTCACCCCTCCTGGTTCCAATAGAAATGCATTTGCCTAATTGACTGAATCTCATGCCTAAGATTCATCCCTAATGGGCACCTGGAGACCCGTAATCTCTCTGAGCCACAGCTTCCTACATCTTCCCTGCCTACCTTAGGAGTCAAATGGAAATCTACAGGAAAATACTTCAGAAATGTAAATTGCCATACGCACTTAAGATATATTACTTTTACTTCTACAGGGATTATTGTTATCCGTGTTGTTTATCTGAGTCCTGAAGGTTCAAGTTGCAAAGGGCAGCGAAGATATCTTAACACCCAAATATTCACCAATTGATCACTTACAAATTTAATCCCTGCTCAAACACTGATCACTCCTCCCCCAACCTTCCCCAGCCTATCTAGGCAAAGTGTCCTTTCTCTGAGGGAGGTTGCTATTATCTGACGATAAATGTACAGCGTAATAAAGTGGCGAGTGAAATTTAAAAAATCAATGCAAAAATATAGAAACTTTCATGAAGTCAGTGAAAGCTATAGAGAACTGTTTGACACACAACTCCACTGCCAAATAAGGGTCTAGCAAAGTTAGGCTGGTTAATACCCAAAGACAGGCAATTAACAAAGGGAAGAGGCCCTTCAAGAGAGATTGACCTGTTTACCAAAGGATCAAGAGAGACCCTTAGCCCTTAAACATTGTTGCCAAAATGACCCTCTTTGTAAGCATGCTCTGAATGAGTTTACAGAATGCCAGATTGTGCTTCCATATAAATTTGTCAGAAAAACTACACAATTTATTCAATTGAAGAATTGGTACACAGTTTGGCTCTTCATTTTGCATACTTTTCAGTTTCTTTTTAAAGACAATCAATGCCCCTTCCCCCAGGCCCTGTCTCACTGTTGATGGAATTTTTGTCTTCATTTAAGGTAGATTCACTTGAAGTGACCTCTTATCCTAAGATTCAGAGACTCTTCAACTTTGGTCTAAGGAACGACTGAAGTTTTTACAGCACCTTCTCTCTAACCAATGTAAGTCGTGACACTTGGGGCTCCAAAAGCCCCTGCCTGGGACAAGAGAAAGCAACCACTAAACCATGGGGGGCTGCCCTCTTCCCTGATTTGGGGTGATGTGGGACCATGAAGCTGTATTTACTCAGCCCAATGTAGGTTCTCGTTAGTCCTACACAGCAGCCAGTTGCAAAGAGTAGGCCTTGAACTGACTCAAAATTGGAGATCTTTCTTTGATCTTTGTGAGTAAATGATGCCCCGTTTCATAGACTTTCATTATTACATAAGACTAGGGGCTACTTGTGAGCAACTAAGTGGGTTATTATAGGTTATTAACACTTGGAATTCATAAACTAAAACCAGATACTCCTAGAGATCCCCAAAACTCAGATTCCACTTTCCATTAGGGAATCTGAGCATCCTGCAATGTTAAGCAACGATGAAAGGGTTCTGCTGGCGAATGCAGGGAACTACAATTCCACTCTTCCTTTTAAAGGAGAAATGACAACTAATTCACTTAGGTAAGTATCAACCAAGTGTGCTGTAGATTGCATGACTCTATATAATCGCATGGACTTGCATCAGTGGAATTTCCGGCTACTCACTTTCCTTTAACAGGATTTTAAAACAGTTTGTATGTGTTGTAGTTCAAGTATGTGGAAACAAATTGCCCCTCCTCCAGTTTGCTTCCCTGGGATTGCTATTTAAATACCTTGCAATGTACTGTCAAGGTAAGAAACCGAAGAATTTGGATAATTATGCTTTCGGGCAATGCTTCACCGTATAAAATCCTGAGTAGGAGGTTCATATCTCTCAGTTATAAGCTTTGTGAGTGTTGCTGGCATCAAGCTCATGGTTCTCCAATTTTGCTGTTATGATTGAGCTCTTTTCCCACTCGAGAGAAAGAGCAGGTGGGGAGAGTGGTCATTGGTGTATTCTGCCCACCTTACATGGGCAGCAGTTAGAGAAGACTGCAAACCACTGTTCTGAGACTACAGCTTTAGAGAAATGTGCATGAAAAGACAGTGGAAAGAATAAACAGGACTAGAAATCCAGCCAGCCCCCAGGTCACGCCTGTGCGTGTCATCTAGGCACTTAGAGAGCCACATGGGGAATGGTTACAGCCCTAAGAGCAACATGGGGCTGGACTGGGATTCTCTATGGTTAACTTCACTTCTCACCCTTGTAGGGGACTCACAAGGATGGTGAACTACAGGAGCCTGGTAGGGAAGACATTCTGCTAACTCTTTCTCTGGGGCAAAGGGGATCCCCCTCTGTCCTTCCTTCAGCTCCCAATCCTTTAGCTAACAAAGAAGAACAGAGACTTTTTTCCATCTTAATTCTTCAGCTACCTTGTGTATGCCCATACTTCCTTGTGTATGCTAACTTTCCTCTTCCACTACGCACATGCCTCAGTTTTACAAGCAGCTTGTTCATTCATTTATTCAAACATTTACTAATTGATGTTGGCATACACCACTGTGCTAGTGCAACCCAGATGAGTCAGACAATTCCAGCCCTCAGAGAGTTTACTGTTCAGTAGACAAGATAACAGGCAAGATAATAGAGCAATGAAAATAAATGGGGAAGAATATTACAGATACTATAAAACGGTACAGGTAAAATGCTATGAGAGTTGGGGAGAAGGAAAAACCAGATGAGGTTAGAAGAATCTCTGTAGAAGAAAAAGCACTTGAGCTGGACTGAAGGGATATGGCACTGGGGAGCCAGTGAAGACGAAGGAGCAAAACCAGGTGCTCTTTAGAAAGGTTCCAGGACAACCGGGTGCAGGGGGGAGGCCAGCCTAGGAGGCTGCTGCAGTAATGAGTGTAACGGGGCTCTGGCCAAAGCTGGGCAATAGCGGGGAAGATGTTCCAGAAGGAAGACTACAGAGGGTCTGTCCACGTCACTGGCTCTTCTTTTTCCAGTTACTTCCCACTTTTCCCCTTCAACTGCCTGTGAGTTCTCTAAGATGGAGCAAGCAATGGAGACGGTTGCCATTAAAAGTAAGGAAAACACTGATAATCTCCCAGGCGTGATACTGGGTGAAAGGAGCCATCCAGCAGAGTGCATGACTCCTATGTGAAGTTCAGAGACAGGCAAAACGATCCCGTGGGGATACAGGTTAGAACGGTGGCCACCTTTGGAATTGCTACAGAAACTAGCAATGAAGACTGAGAAGTCAAGACCCCGACCCCATGTCTATTCCAATATCTGGGATCTTTGACTGTCACCTTACTTGTCAAAGGGTCTTTGCAGATGAGATTAAGTTAAGGACTTGAGATGGGGGGATGACCCCAGCTTAGCCAGGTAAGTGGAAGAGGGAGGCAGGAGAGTCAATCATAGAAGGGGATGTGACACTGAGCAGAGGAGGGAACGCTGAGATTGGTGGCTGGGCCACCAGCCTCTAGAAGCTAGAAAAGGCAAGAAAACAGAATCCTCCTGAGCCTCAGAAGGAATCCTCTCCTGCTGACTCATTTGTTACTTCGGAACTGTAAGAGAGCAAATGTGTGTTGCTTTAACTTACCAACCAGGTTTGTGATGATTTGTTATAGAAGCATAGAAAAGCAATTCCATGGAAAACCAAAAGCATAGGGTATCCAGAAGCCAAGTGAAGAAAGTGTATGAAGGACAGGGGTGGGGGGTGGGCAGTGATCAACCATGTTGCTGCCAGGCCAGGTGCGATAGGTGAGAAGTGGCCACCGAGTTTAGGGGAGGTGAGGGTCCTGGTGAGCCTGGCAGGGCTGTTTCAGTGGCATGGCAGGTTTCAGAGAGACCGGGGCACTTATTACCTGTCTGTCTAAATAAATGAGGGCTACACATGGACCAATGATCAGTGTGTGTTGTAAGAAACAAAAATAAGGAAAACAAAGATAGTGGATGCTACCCAGGCATCGGTCTAGGTTATTGTCTGAAAATATTTCCAAAGATGATTACTCTCACGTGTTTCTGGGATTCCTGCTTGTTTCTGTTTATTTCCCCCAGAGAATTTTTATTTCTGACCTTCCCTCCATTCGGAGTCCTGCAGCCCCTTCCTCCACTGAATTGTGGGGTAACTCCAGGGAGCACTCCTGTAGCCCGTGCCTACCCTGGGATGGGCATGGAGCCACAGCAGCCTGGTCCCTGGACATTCTAGTGTCCCAGTTGGCCCTGGTTCATCCTCCAGGTAAGACTTGTCTGGCAGGCCAGCCACGGTGGCTCACACCTGTAATCTTAGCACTCTGGGAGGCCTGAGGCAGGCAGATTGCTCAAGGTCAGGAGTTCGAAACCAGCCTGAGCAAGAGTGAGACCCAATCTCTACTATAAATAGAAAGAAATTAATTGGCCAACTAATATATAGAGAAAAAATTAGCCGGGCATGGTGGCACATGCCTGTAGTCCCAGCTGCTCAGAAGGCTGAGGCAGAAGGATCGCTTGAGCCCAGGAGTTTGAGGTTGCTGTGAGCTAGGCTGATGCCATGGCACTCACTCTAGCCTGGGCAACAAAGCGAGACTCTGTCTCAAAAAAAAAAAAAAAAAAAAAAAAGACTTGCCTGGCACATAGCTGGGCTGAGCATGGAAGTCCTTGGCACGCCGTGAAGGGCAATGACTGCCAGTGGCCAGGCGGGCTCCACTGGAAGCCCTCTTACAGGCCAAGTGGGTCTCAGCTCCCTTCCGGTAGCTGGCTTCTCATCTCACTCCGCTTTGCAGGAGGACAGCAGTTAAGTGAGCTCCCCAAATGTAAGCTTTTATCTGCGTCCTCAGCTCAGACCGGCTTTCTAAGTTGGGCTGTGCTCAAGGTAAGATGTTCTGGGACCTGGGGTGAGGAGGGAACCCCAAGTCTTCCTGCACTTAGCTCTCCTCCCTATTGTCCATCCTCATTTAATTACCCAAGCCCTGAAGCTCTGAACGGCCAGAACCCAAAGCCTGGCAGAGCCACGCATGGCAGAATCTGTGGTCTTCTCAGCCACTCAGAGATGGAAAAATGCACATGACACATTTTTCGCATACGATTTCATCTCTTTCATCAACCTCAGAAAATGATCCGTAGAACACCAGGATTAAGAGGCTCTGCTCCATGTGTGATACAGACTCCACTGGTGGTGCCCAGATGACCTTACGGATTTGTTATTTTCATAGTTCTATATTTATTTTAAAGTACATGTAAAAACTTGTGCTTTCATGGGTATTACTGTCTAGGGTAAGTAAATCATAAAGTAAAAAGTGAGTTAATTTAAAGATAATTGTTGAATATAATAGTGTAAGTGGTGTGTCAATTTAGAAAAAAGCGATGACAGTTATTCATGGATGATGAAAGTCTGGGAATCACAGTATCTAAGGCTTTGGAAGGAGGTTTAGACCCAAAGTCTTTTTCTTGTCTATTTCTTTCTTTTTGTGAGACAGAGTCTCACTCTGTTGCCCAGGCTAGAGTGCCGTAGCACCATCACAGCTCACTGCAGCCTCAAACTCCTGGGCATAAGCAGTCCTCCTGTCTCAGCCTCCCGAGTAGCTCAGACTACAGGCCCGCACCACCACCATACCACACCACCATGCTCGGCTAATTTTTCTTTTCTTTATAAAGACAGGGTCTTGCTCTTGCTCAGGCTGGTCTCGAATTCCTGGCCTGAAGCAATCCTCCTGCCTCAGTTTCCCAGAGGGCTAGGATTGGGAGGGGGCAACTGTGCCCAGCCTATTTCTTTTTTGAAAAATGCTGGTGGCAGCTCAATCCACAGACTTTACACCCTATCAACATGTGACCGCGACCTGAGGAATACTGCTGTCACCCAAACTTGGGGTGAGGAGCTTGACCCCAACGGCCCCTGAGCACCTTCCCTGCTCAGCCATGGCTCTTCCACTTGCGCAAGGCGGACAGCATGGCCTCTCCACCTCCAAGGCCACGGCAGACCTTGTGTTATCCCACCCCCTCCCTGCAGTATGTTGGCTCAAACTAGTTTGACTTGTTTTGTGCGTGCCTCCGTGTGGCTGTGTGTGCAAGCGTGTGCCCAGAGGGAGCGTGGCAAAGTGGGGAACAGGGGAAGCAAATGCAGCCAGGCCTCTTCTCTGGGAGAAGACCCAGGATGGTCCCATCCAAGCACCATGCTACGAAAGAAGGTCCTTCATTCAGAAACAGGCCCCGAACAGCAGAGCTGGTTTATGGCACCCGCTTCCCTGCGACACCCCTCCAGCTCGGCGCACCGCAGAGGCGGGGCTCTACCATCAAGGTGTCAGCATCCCTGGTCCCGTGGGAGGAGAGAAGGGCGGTGGAGAAGGCAGCCTGCGGGTTGCTAGAAGCGCATAGCTAGAGAGAGGAACAGGAATGTCTTGCCTCCATCCAGACTTCTTGCTGAAAAGATACCACACCCCAGACTCCTCCTTTGACTACCCCTCTCCCCTCATTTAAAGACAACTCTAGTTGTCCACTAGTTCCTAGATTAGAAATCTGCAAGTAGAAGCTCACAGGCAACTGGAGTGTTGGGCTAGTGTGGCCAGAGGTCAAGTTTGAGCCATGGACTTGTAGGTGCCTTGTTAGTTTTCAGTTTTTCCCACATCCTCAAGGTGGGGCCCAGAAATAAGGACGCCTGCAATGTGGCCACACCGGGGCTCTTAAGGTACCAGGTGAGCATGCAGGTTGGAAGCAAAAGTGGAGTCAGGAGGCCCTGCGAGCCCTCCCTGAGGCCAGGAAAGGCAAAGCAAAGTGAAGAGCTGGGAGGTTGGCAGAGCTGGGAGGCGGGGCAGCCTAGGGCAGAAGTGACTGGTACTCAGGACAGTGTTGGGAGAAGCCACACCCTAAGGCTCCTGTCTACAAGACACAGTGACAATACAGGGCGGGCCCCATGAGCCACCATAAGCTTGGCTGTCTCTACTGTTCTGGTCTCAACCTCTTTAGTTTCCTGCACTCAGTTTTTCTTATATCTACGGCTAAACCTTCTGTCTCTTCAGTGTGACCTGACACCAAACATCAGCTTCTGAGATTAAACTGGGTTTCCACCACAGAATGCTCAGTCCTGGTGCTTTACCTGTGAAATCCCCCCAATTCACCCTGTCTCTCCCCTTGATCACAGCCACCGTACTGCAAGCCACGTGGTAGCCTCCTGCCTGGTCCCTCACATCCACTCGGGCTCCCTCCATTCCTTTTTGGCGCTGTGGTCAGGGAACTCTTCCAAAGATGCAAATCGGGCCATGCCACGCCCCTGCTCGAATCTCTTCCCTGGCTTCCCATGGTTCTTAGAGTCAAGTCCCAAACCCTGACCACAGCCTATGAGGCCCTGCGGGATCCAGCCTCGGCTGGTCCTGGCCTCCTCCTGCTGTACCCCTCTCCTGGCCTCCAGCCTCTGATCGCATGGATTTTACTTCTGCCACCTGACTGCCAAGCTCTCCACTTCAGACCCTTCGCACATGCTGTTGCCTTTGTCTGGAATGTTCTTCCTACCATGAGTCACCTATTTGTCAACTGACTCTCAGTGTAAATGTCACTTTCTCAAAAAAGCCCTCTGTGAACTGCCCCAGATCCACAGTCTGCTAGCACCATGGAATTAAGTGATTATCACATGATTAGTATGTCCCCTTTCCCTCCTATTATCCTGTTAGCTCCATGAGGACAGGACCATATTAGTTTCATTCATCGGTGCGTCCCGCTACTGTGCACAGTGCTGTTGACCCATTAATGAACCAAGTAAGTGATTCAATAAATAAATGATTGAAGAATTAGGCAAGATGGTCCAAGGCGGAGCCACTCGGAACAGTGAGTGGTAAATCCTTCCACCCACAGATCTAAACGCACTTGCTGGATTCATCTTGAAAGCAAGGGCTAGAAGCAAGGAAGGACTGTTGGTTTACAAGAGTCCACTCTCCGCCACGGTTTCACTTTCCATGCTTTCAGTTACCCATGGTCAACTAAGATCCAAAAGTATTAAATGGAAAGTTCCAGAAATAGACAATTCATAAGTTTTAAATCGGTTTTCAATAGCAGCCTAACTCTACGTCACAATGCCGACGTCATTCTCCTCGCTTCATCCCACCACACAGGCATTTTGTCATCTCACATCATCACAAGAAGAAAGGTGGGTACAGTACGATAATACATCTCGAGAGAGGGCTCACATTCACATGACTCTTATTACAGTATATTGTTATCATTGTTCCATTTTATTATTAGTTATTGTTAACCTCTTATGTGCCTAATTTATAATTTAAACTTCATCATGGTATGTAAGTATAGGGAAAACATAATATACATAAGGTTTGGTACTATCTGTGGTTTCAGGCACCCACTGGGGAGGGGTCTTAGGATGTATCTCGCTCAGATAACAGAGGACTACTGTATATTTAAGCATGATGGCTCCAATGTCACCAGTCCCACAGCCAGGCCTGGGGGATGCCCAAGAAGTCAGTTTGCCTTTGGCCTGAGCCTACCTGGAGCCCCGTGGATAGGGTGTGTTTCCCCTGCCCACGAGGGTTCTTGGGACAAATCCAGCATTGATTTTAAAGTGAGATACACTCGGCTCTTCCACTAACTAGCTAGTTACCTTAGACACATCGACAGAGCCTCTCTGAGCCTCAGATTCCACATCCTACACTGGGGATAATGAAACATACCGCAGGTTCAGTTGAAGGCTTAACTACCACGAGCTTGTACTGCACAGCAGCCTGCAGCTTAGCACATCGTCTGAGTTCCGAGTGATAACATTCCCTTTTCCTCTGCGAAACTGGATTATGCCTTTCATTTCACTCTTGACTCCCAAGCCAGCGAGTAGGACAGATACAAAGGGAGGCCTGAGGGGTTGGAGGACACAGTCCACCCACAACACTGCCTGGACCTCTCCACCCACCCAGGTGAGCCCTGGTTCAAGACCCAGGTGCGGCACCAGGAAACCCAAGCTAGCTGGGAAGAGCTACTGATCTGTCCCTTTTTGAAGCAGCGGCGGCCGACAGGGTGGGATGGGGAGGGGAGCCTTGGAAGGGGAATACAGGTGAGCCTATCCAAACAGACACGGACAGCAACTGCAAAGAGGGAGAAGCTGATAAAGGAAGAGGAAGGAACGTCGGGGGCGTGTGGGGCGTTGGGGCCAGAAACCGGGTCTGAGTTGTGGGGGGGGGGGCATGGGCTAAGGAGGATCAAGGTGGAAGGAAGGAAAACTCGGGAGGCGGGAGAATTAGCCGATGGAGGCGGGTCAGGGCTAACGCTGGAGAGGAAGAGTAAGGTCCTGGTGAGAGGAAGGGGGAGGGACAGTGACCTGTTACCTGGCGAGAAGAGAGGGGAAGCGGAGGGAGGGAAGGGCAGAGGCTGCCTGTCACCTCGGGTCCTCCTAGAAGGCAGGTAAACGGGGCTCGCCGGGGAAAGGAGAGTTGGGGGAGGGGGTGGCGGGAGTGGGTGGGGTGTGACCCCAGCCGGGCTGTACCTGCGGGTCCCCTTGCAGCTCGCCCACGTAGTACTCCTCCAGCCAGCGGCGCGCGTTGGCCGAGTGTCTGTGCGGTGGCCCGTCCAGGTCGGCGCTGATGTCCTGGCCGGCCCTCGCCCGCAGCAGCTGCTCGCCCCCCGGGTGATGCCGCACGAAGCTGGTGAGGTCGTAGAGGCGGGCCCCGCGGCGGACCCAGCACGCGCCGGCCGCCAGGCGCCGCTGGACCTCGGAGGGCGAGAAGGAGGCGGCGGGGGGCGGAGCAGGGGCCATGGCTGGAGACCGGAGCTCGCCGCTCGGAGCCCGGGCGACTGCCGGGTGGCCTCACCGACGCGCCTCTAACAGCCCCGGAGCCGGCCGCCGCTATAGGCCCGCCGCCACCGCACCTGCTCATTTGCATGCCGCGCTCCCATTGGCCGCCCAGCGGGACGCGGCCCCAGCCCGGAGGGGCCCCTCCCCATTGGCCGGCAGCAAGCCCGGGAGGGCGGGCCGGGGCGCCGCGAGCTGCCCGCCAGGTGGCCCCGGGCAGGTAGAGGGCGCGCCGGCCAGGTGTGTCCCGTCGCCGGAGGAGGACGGACGGATGCGGGCGGAAGAAGTCTGGATGGACGGTGGCCACTGGAATAACTTCTGCTGTCGCTCAAGGGAGAAAGTGGTGGGTAGTGGATCCTCCAGCTAAGAGAAGAGGAGGCAGCGCGGGGTACCAGTGTAAGGAGAGTGAGCCACTTGTCTGCGGGGGGGGGGGGGCAAAATTTAAGGCGGCACCCCAAAACTCAATAATCGCAATATATAATATTTTAATGTAATATTTTCACAATGTGAAAGTACTTAAGGACACTGTCCTGTACACTTAAAAATGGTAAATTTATATTATGTATATTTTGTCACAATAAAAAATATATATCATAAAGAATTTTTTTAGGCCAGGCACGGTGGCTCACGCCTGTAATCCTAGCACTCTGGGAGGCCGAGGCGGGCGGATTGCTCGAGGTCAGGAGTTCGAAACCAGCCTGAGCAAGAGCGAGACCCCGTCTCTACTATAAAAAATAGAAAGAAATTAATTGGCCAACTAATATATATAGAAAAAATTGGCCGGGCATGGTGGCACATGCCTGTAGTCCCAGCTACTTGGGAGGCTGAGGCAGGAGGATCGCTTGAGCCCAGGAGTTTGAGGTTGCTGTGAGCTAGGCTGACGCCACGGCACTCACTCTAGCCTGGGCAACAAAGTGAGACCCTGTCTCAAAAAATAAAATAAATTTTTTAAAGTCATATTGGCAAACCGATGGAGGTAGGGTGGAGGCTGGCCACTTGTCTTTGTAAAGAAATGTTTTTTTTTTTTGTCAACTGATTTTTTTAAACGTTTTTTAATTATTATGGGTACATAACAGTTGTATATCTTTCTAGAGTACATGGGATGTTTTGATACAGGCATACAATGTGAATTAATCAAATCAGAGTAATTGGGGAACCATCAACTCAGGCATATAAATAAAGTTTTATTGGAACAAGGGCCAGGCTTAGTGAAGCATGGTTGTGAAAATGCAGGATTGGCTCCTGGTTTTGACATTTTATTCATCATGGATTTTTTTTTTTGCATGCATTTTGAATTCTTAAAATACTGCATTAAACTATTATTTATCTTGATTACTGAATATTTTGATGTGCCCTTAAATTTTGCACCCAGGATCAATGCCTCACTCCCTCCCTCTAGTGCTGACTCTTAGGGGAGGACCTGAGGGGAGAACAGAGGACACTTGTCACCATTAGAGAAGGGGACCTAGAGGAGTAAAAAGCCTGCTGGGTAGAATGGAGGACTGAGTGTGTTCTTCACAGTGTAGTTTACACCAGGGAGAAATTGCACACAGCTTTCCTTGCCCAGTGACTTGTGTGTGGGGAGTCACCTTTGAATTCTTGATTTGTAATCAAATGCTCCTGGCACTGACTGAGGCTGTCCCATCCAACTGGACTTTGTGTCTCTCAGGGAAGAAAGTTTCAGGGTTGCTTTTGCTTATGCTCTTCAGGAGCCAGGCATCTGTGCTGGGCGAGGGCTGGGTGGGAGACTGTGTCCGGACACCTCATGGGCCACCCCAACAATAGAAGTGGCCAAGGTCAAGATAGCTGCACCTCCCCTCTCTTCTTTCCAGACCTCTCCTGACTTACCCTCAGGGAGGAGGCAGGAGTTCTGCTGCATCTATGGGTCTAGGAAACAGCTGTCCATCAGGCCTGGAGGTCTTATGTCACTAGAGTTGCTTTTCTTAAGCAGTGAGTGCAGTTATCCTTGCTGCACTTCCACACCTACTCTGTTCCAAATACCTTACATGCGCCAAAGCAGCCATGCACACACGCACAAGTGTACTCAGGTACTTCCTGTTGACGATATCTGTGGGACACCCCCATTTGGATTTCTCACTATTGCCTTCAACTCCCATTGTCTGAAGCTGAACAAACAATTTAGCCATCTATTCAGAACTCTAACACTCACATTTCTTGCCCTAGTATTCTACTTCTAGAAATTTGATCTTATGGATATATCAAGATAAATGAATAATAATATTAATTGCAGCATTCTTTATAGACTCAAAACTGAAATATTCATCATTAGGGAGGACCAACTAAATAAATGATGATATGTTCAGACAGTGGAATACTATGTAGCCATTAGAAAGGATGAGGCTGATCTATGTGTACTGATTTCGAACAATCTCCAGGACATTGTAGTGGAAAACAAGAATAATGTGTATGGCATGCTAACATTTAATTTGCTTTTCTTAATTATTTAATCATTAAAAATATTTTGATGCAAGGAAAAGAGTATAGGTATATTGAGTATAAGTATACATATAAGTAAAAGAGTGTACATATATTGCTTTTTAAAGCAAAAATAGTTAACTCCTTAAATCTTACTCCCAACCCTAGAGCTAGGACATTATCTAGAACTTGCACCTATTTCTATACTCCAAACCTTCCACTTCTCTGCTTCCTAGTTACCAAGAGGTAACCTCTGCCCAGACTTTTCTGCTCATCCTTCCATTGCTTTTTATTTTTAATGTTTTTGTCACATCTACCTGTGTGCCTATAGAATATATTGTTTATAAAATCTTGTTTTTAAGTTTTGTGAAAATTATATGATACTGTATTTCGCTATATGTTTTACTCAATGTTATTTTACGATTCACCCATGGCTGGGCGTGGTGGCTCACATCTGTAATCCTAGCTCTTTCAGAGGCTGAGGATTGCTTGAGGTCAGGAGTTTGAGACCAGTCTGAGCAAGAGCAGGACCCCCTAAATAGAAAAAAATTAGCCAGACATGGTGACGCCTTCCTGTAGTCCCAGATACTTGGGAGGCTGAGGCCAGAGGATTACTTGAGCCCTGAGTTTGAGGTTACAGTGAGCTATAATGATGCCACTACACTCCAACTTCAGTGACAGAGCAAGACTCTGCCTAAGATTCATCCATGTTATTGAGGGTCAGTGTAGTTCATCAAATTTCACTGCAATGTCATATTCCACGATATGAATTTATCCATTTTCCTTTTCCTCTTGATAGGAATTAGAATTATTTCTTTTACTATTATGAATGCTCTTTACATATGAGTTAGAGTTTCTATAGCATATATATCTAGGAGTGCAGTTGTTGCATCCTAGGGTATGCAAATGTTCAAATTTACAAGATAATGTAAATTAGCTTCTAAGTGGTTATGCTATTAATATTTTACATCCCCATGAAAGAGGTATGAAAATCTCTAGCACTAATGTTGAGAACAAGGTAAGGATGCCCACTCTTATCGCTTATATTCAACACTGTTTTAGAGTTTCTAGCCAGTGATATAAGACAAGCAAAAGAAATAAAAATCATAAAGAGCAGAAATGAAGGAGTAAAACTCTCTACTTGCAGAGAACATGATTGTTTACATAGAACATCCCAACTAATTTGTAAAACAACTAGAACTAGTTGTTAGGGTGGGAATTCATAGCACGGGTTGAAAAAGAATTCTCAACACAAAGATTAGGATAGTTTTAAAGAAAGAAAGTTTATTTTACTTCCCAAGGGTGGGAAGGGCACTGGCACAGGAGAAAGAAAGGAAAGGTGCCAGCAGAGAGGTTAAGAGGTTTGGGAAGTTTTTTTGGGAGTAAAGGGGAAAAAGTGATTGCTGGCAGCTGATGGCAAAAGGCAACTGTGAATGGCTGCATCTCTTTTTCCTATTTTTTTTCCTTTTCTCCTTGCGGCTGGCCTATCGGTCTCCTTGGAATGTGGTCTGGCAGGAACTGGGGTGGGGAGCTTGTATCCCTGCTGTCTGCTCTGGTCTCTTCCAGGCTGTTAAAACAAACTTTGAAATAGAACAATTGGTGGTTGATCTTAAAGACAAGTTGAGTCACAGGTAGTTAATCAAACAAAGGGTTAGTTGTTCAGTGTGATCTTTCTCTTCAAAGGGGAAATCATGTACAGTGAGTTTATTCCTATTTCTTTCTGTTATATACTTTATTTTTCTCTCTTAGACAGTTTATTAGCAAGGCCATCCTATCACTAATAAGTAAATTTTGCAAGTCCACAGGATCCAAGGTCAAAATACAAAACTCACTTGTATTTTAATTACTAGCACCAAACAATCAGAAAATGATATTTTAGAATTTCATTTATGACAGTATCAAAAAAATAAAAATGTGAGAATATGCCCGGGCGCAGTGGCTTATGCCTGTATTCCTAGCACTCTGGGAGGCCGAGGCGGGCAGATTGCTCAAGGTCAGGAGTTCAAAACCAGCCTGAGCAAGAGCGAGACCGCGTCTCTACTATAAATAGAAAGAAATTAATTGGCCAACTAATATATATAGAAAAACTGAGCCAGGCATGGTGGCACATTCCTGTAGTCCCAGCTACTCGGGAGGCTGAGGCAGAAGGATTGCTTGAGTCCAGGAGTTTGAGGTTGCTGTGAGCGAGGCTGACGCCATGGCACTCACTCTAGCCTGGACAACAAAGGGAGACTCTGTCTCAAAAAAAAAAAAAAATGTGAGAATAGATTTGACCAAAAAATTGAGACCTCTAACTGAAAACTACAAAAATTCTGCTGTGAGAAATTAAAGAATATCTAAATAAACAGATTCATGGATACACCAAGTTCCAAGTTCATGGATTGCACAACTCAGTATTAAGATCTCAATTCCTCTCCAACTGATCTCAAGATTCAGTACAGTCCCAATCATATTCCCACCAGATTTTTCTTTTAGAAATTGATAATTTGCTTCTAAAGTTTATGTGGAAATGTAAAGGACCTAGAATATTAAAAGCAATCTTGAGAAAGATGAATAAAGTTGCAGGACTAACACTGCCTAACTGTAAGGCTTACTATATACCTACGTATTTAAGACCACATAGTACTCACATAAGAACAAACACATAGATCAATGGAACAAAACAGAGCAGAAATAGACCCAAGGTCATTTTGTTCTTTTATTGAAATATAATTTACATACAGTAATATTTGGCCTTTAAATGTAGTTATATCAGTTTTGGGGATCTTCTACACCCTTCTAAAGGTTAGATTTGTCTCTTCCTTTTCCAATACCACATTGTGTTTGTTACTATAGCTTCATTTTTTTTTTATTCTTTTTTTGTTTGTTTGTTTTGTTTTGTTTGAGACAGAGTCTCGCTTTGTTGCCCAGGCTAAAGTGAGTGCTGTGGTGTCAGCCTAGCTCACAGCAACCTCAAACTCCTGGGCTCAAGCAATCCTCCTGCCTCAGCCTCCCGAATAGCTGGGACTACAGGCATGCGCCACCCATGCCCGGCTGATTTTTCTATATATATTAGTTGGCCAATTTATTTCTTTCTATTTATAGTAGAGATTGGGTCTTGCTCTTGCTCAGGCTGGTTTTGAACTCCTGACCTCGAGCCATCTGCCCACCTCGGCCTCCCTAGTGCTAGGATTACAGGCATGAGCCATATAGCTTTATTTTTATTTTTATTTTTTTGAGACAGAGTCTCTCTTTGTTGCCCAGGCTAGAGTGCCATGGTGTCAGCCTAGCTCACAGCAACCTCAAACTCCTGGGCTCAAGCAATCCTTCTGCCTCAGCCTCCTGAGTAGCTGGGACTACAGGCATGCACCACCATCCCTGACTAATTTTTTCTATATATTTTTAGCTGTCCAGCTAATTTCTTTCTATTTTTTAGTAGAGACGGGGTCTCGCTCTTGCTCAGGCTGGTCTCGAACTCCTGAGCTCAAACGATACACCCACCTCGACCTCCCAGAGTGCTAGGATTACAGGCATGAGCCACCGCACCTGGCCGTTATTATAGCTTTATATAGTAATAAGTTTTGATATCTGGGAAGGCTACTTACTATCCACACCCTGTACTCCTTTACAAATGGCTTGGTTTATGCTTGGATTTTTTGTTTTTCATATATATTTTAGAATCATTTTCGTCCATGTCCATGAAGAAACATGTTGGGATCGTGAAAACAATTGCATTGAATCCATAGATTAATTTGGAGAGGATTAATATGTTTGCAAAATGGAACCTTCTTATTTAAAAATCTAAATCTCCACTTATTCAGGTCATATGTAATATCATTTCATAAAGTTTAAGGTTTCTGCATATGGGACTTTCACACATGTGCTGAATCAATTCCTAAGTATGCTACAGGTGTTTTTCTATTATATAAGGTTTCTTTTTAAAGTAAACTTTTTACTGAAGTATGACATCCATAGAGAAAAGTTCACCTATCCTAAGTGTGCAGCTCAATGAGTTTTCACAAAGTCAACGTACACTTCTCAGGAAACAGGACACTAACAGCCCCAAAGAAGTCTTCCTCAAGCCTTTTCACAATAAATACCTCATCTCTTCCCCGAAGGAAAACCACCATGTTGATTTCAAACGCTGTGCGTTACTTTTGTCTGCTTCAGAACTTTATATAAATGGAATCATACAGTGTATACTCTTTTTTTTTTTTTTTATTATAATTATTTTTTTTTATTTTGGCATATTATGGGGGTACAGATTTTAAGGTTTCAATAAATGCCCATTTCCCCCCCTCCCCCCAAAAGTCTGAGTCTCCATCATGACCATCCCCCAGATGGTGCACATCTCACTCACTATGTATGTATATACCCGCCCCCCTCCCCCCTCCCACCTGCCCAATACCCTATTACTGTAGCACCTATGTGTCCACTTAGGTGCTACTCAGTTAATACCAGTTTGCTGGAGAATATATCTGGTGCTTGTTTTTCCATTCTTGGGATACTTCACTTAGTAGTATGGGTTCCAGCTCTAACCAGGAAAATATAAGGTGTGCTATATCACCATTGTTTCTTAGAGCTGAATAGTACTCCATGGTGTACATATACCACATTTTATTAATCCATTCTTTGATTGATGGGCACTTGGGCTGTTTCCACAGCCTTGCAATTATGAATTGTGCTGCTATAAACATTCGAGTGCAGGTGTCTTTTTTGTAGAGTGTCACTGGATCATTTGGGTAGATGCCCAGCAATGGGATTGCTGGATCAAATGGTAGATTCACTTGTATCGCTTTAAGGTATCTCCATATTGCTTTCCACAGAGGTTGAACTAGTTTGCAGTCCCACCAGCAGTGTAGGAGTGTTCCTCTCTCTCCGCAGTGTATACTCTTTAACTACCTTCTTTCACCTGTTATGTCTGGGAGATTCATCCATGTTGTTGGGTATGGTAATAATTTGTACATTCTTATCTCTGTATTCTACTACATAAATATGCCACATTTAATTTATTCATTCTATTATTGATGGACATATGCGTTGTTTCCAGCTTGGGGCTATTAAGTGCTGCTATGAACATTCTTGAACCCGACCACACAAAGGATCTGCCACACATGCAGGGGACACATCAAGTGGCTTCCCGGCTTCAGCTCAGGAACTCTGCAGATCTACTTGGAGGAAAGGAGAAAGTCCTCCGAAATTCCCATCCATAGTAGAGTCTATAAATAACCCATCCCTCCAGCATCTAGGATGCCTGCTCCAGGACAGGTTTGCATTGCCAGTCCCTCACTGCACTGCTGTTGAGTATACTTAGAAACCACCAAGGGCTCATTCTTGCTTTCCTCAGTGCTCCCAAAAGGATAGGATGACATTACTGTAATAATACTGAATGCCATAGTAAGAAAGTAATTCCCTTTTCAATTTTCTCCCTAAGTCCTTCCAATCATGCCAAAGAGAAAGCGTTTGTTTGATGTTTGATGTTTTAACACCTTGCTGAGCATGAGAGCCTGTGACAGTCAATCAAAGATTAGCTGGAACTTATTAACAATAATGTATATTGTTTTTGTCTTTATCTGTCTTTATAGTTAACCTTATATTTGTGGGAAAGTATACTGGGTTTTCCATTTTTGATAGTGGTGTAAACTTTTCTATGTATTTATTTCGGTAAAAAAGTGAGTCCTTTAAAGAAAGTTATTGCATATTTAAATAATAATGGGATGGCCAGATTCACAAGGGTGGTACTGACTGTGCTTAGAAATCAAAAAGCAAGGCCTTGGCTGGCGCCATGGCTCATGCCTGTAATTCTAGCACTCTGGGAGGCCGAGGCGGGTGGATTGCTCGAGGTCAGGAGTTCAAAACCAGCCTGAGCAAGAGCGAAATCCCGTCTCTACTATAAATAGAGAGAAATTAATTGGCCAACTAATATATATAGAAAAAATTAGCCGGGCATGGTGGCGCATGCCTGTAGTCCCAGCTATTCGGGAGGCTGAGGCAGCAGGATCGCTTGAGCTCAAGAGTTTGAGGTTGCTGTGAGCTAGGCTGATGCCACAGCACTCACTCTAGCCTGGGCAACAAAGCAAGACTCTGTCTCAAAAAAAAAAAAAAAAAAGCAAGGCCTCTGTGTATGACCTGGTGCCCACCACATTATCCAGGCCATGCACGCTGGAACACAAAAGGAGGTGCAGAGGAAAACATTGAAATTCGGGGCCCTGCTGGGGGGTGGGGAAATTGTCAGCATTCGGGGCGAGCCACCGGCAGAGTAAGGGCGCAGGGACAGCCGCCCAGCGGGATGCGACACCTGGGCTGGGCAGGGGCCTCACCAGGGCCCAGAAGCGCCGCGCAGCCTCTCACCACTAGGTGGCGGACTGGCGCTGCCGGCGGGAGAGGCGCGTGCGCCGGGCGCGCTTGGTCTCCGCAGCCTGGAACAGGCGGGACCAGGTGGCACCAGGTGTTCCCCCCTCCCAGCCCTGTCCTGGAGGGGCCTGAGGTCTCAGCCCCCTTCAAAACCAAATCCCCCAGCTGCTTGAGCCCCAAGGAATTGGAAATAACTCCCATCAGAGACCCTTAGCCATCTTTTGTGCACAGACGGGTGACGCTGTGG